GGGGCGAGGCGCGCGCCCTGCCTCCGGGCAGATGTGCAGCAGCTGGAGGCCCGCGCGCGGCGGGGCGCCGAGTTTGTCCCGGAGGAGGCGGGCGCGGGCGGCACTTTGTGGGGCCGGCACAATGCCCTAAACACTCCGCTGCCCCCTTTGTGCCCCGCCGCCCCGCCGTGTCTTTGTGCTGCGCCGCCAGCGCCCGAGAGCGGGGAGAGGCGCACGGAGGCCGCCGGCCCCTCCGGCCCTGGCGCTTCAAAGCCGCCCGGCGCGTGCCAGCGCCCACTGCTGGGCCTCGGCTTTGCCGTACTCCTCGGCCCGGATCTGGCCCGTGGGTCCTCGGGAGGGGGCAGGACCACATCCCAGAGCTGCTGTCGCCGTGGCACCGGCCTGAAAGAGGTAGGGCGGGGCTCGATTCTCCACGCTGCCCGGTGCCTGGGAGCGCGAAGCCTGGACAGGGCACATCAATGCGGTCTGGGCGGCTTAGGGGGGAAGAGGCCTCTCTCTCTGGGCGACGGAGCTGGGGGCCCCTGGAGACAGGCAGCTTCCCCTCCCCCACAGGATCCTGCGGGGCCAATGTGTCCACCCCTCAGCCACACAGCTCAACTGCTGAACATCTGCAACTTCCTTGTCAGCCCCACAAACAGCCATCAAGGGCACACTGTCCAGAACCCCTTGTTACAAACATCCAAATTAGGCCCACTAAAGGGGAGGTGTCCAGGTTTGAACAGTTCCCTGGAGGTCAGCCCTCCTGTCAGCCAAAACTACTAGAGTCCAGCCTCCTTGGAACAGAAAGGGCCACTACACAATCCCTCTATAGGACCTGGCCTCTCCTGCTGTACCTGCTCAGGGGCATCTTCCACAGCCTAAGTAATGAAAAGGGTGCAGAGACCCAGGAGGGCTACAGCATGGGCTGGAACTCTCTCCAGAGCTTCAGTGGACTTCTCCATGCCTCTGCCCATTGTGGGACTCAGAAGGCCCACAGGGGTAGAATCCTACTCCTTCCCCTCAAGTCTAGGTTGGAGACCAACCATATCTGCACTGCCAGGGACCAGGCCCTAGCGAGAAGGAGGAGGCCGGCTGTGGTCCCGTGCGCAGGCTGCACGCTTTAATGGGACACATGTTGCTGCGTCGCTCCAGAGGACCCTGCCTGCACCAGGCTTTGAGCAGCCACAGGCAGAAAATCGCTGCATTGTCCCCACATTAGGGCAATTAATGTGGCATCCCCGAGCCAGAGCATAAAGCTCACCGCCGCAAAGCATCAAGGACCCACCCTTGGCATCTTCACACGACCGCAGGAGCTCTATCCTACTCACTGGGAGGCCTGCGGCCCGGACCTCCCTGCAGGATACCCTGAGTAAGGGACAGGGAGGACTGGACAGGTGAGCCCCATGGCAAGATCTTGAACCTGTGGTGACTGGGACCCACAGGGCTTGATAGGGGTGGACCTGGGAGGGGTCCCCTGACTTGGGAAGTGGTGGGGACAAGGGAGGAAAAAGAGAGGGTACCTGGAAAGGAAGGAGGGGTCCTAAAGGCCACAGGCAGCCTGGACTATAGGAGGGGCCCGGGATGGGAGGTGGGGACTTTCTCCCCTATGTCCCCTCGATCCCCTCCCCTTTGGGCCTCATTGACATGTAAATGAAGGTCTCCTATAAAGGCAGCACCGTGTCCTGCTGGCACAGATATTGCAATATGGGCACGGAGCCCGCCTCCCGCGGGAGCCCCAGCGGCCCTGCTGTCAGCTTCCGCAAGGTCTGGGGTCCTGAGTGGGGATCTCTCCTCTGGAGGGGTGGAAAGTGGGAGGACTGGGCTCTGACCCCTGAATGCTGCGGGCCCACAGATCTCCAAGCCGCTGATGGAGAAGAAGCGCCGGGCGCGCATCAATGTGTCCTTGGAGCAGCTCAAGGCGTTGCTGGAGAAACACTATTCGCACCAGGTGGGATGCGGGGAGAAGGAGGGGAATCAGCGGCCCCCTCCACCTCGGTCTGCCCGGCTAAGAGCCCTCCCCCCTCCACCGGCCCGCAGATCCGGAAACGCAAACTGGAAAAGGCAGACATCCTGGAGCTGAGCGTGAAGTACATGAAGAGCCTTCAGGGCTCGGTGCAAGGTGGGGTGGGAATGTGGGGCTTGGGAGGGCGGGGGCGGGAGTGGGAGGGCACTGGTGGGACTGGAGCTTGGGGTACCAACAACCCCGGGGAGCTCACTGGGTTCCCAGCTCGCGCGGGGCGGGCAGCAGCAGCGAAAGCTCAGCTGGCAGAAGGCTGTGAGTGGTCGGCCTCTAGGGAACACCTTCAGGTCACCTCACTCCCCCTCTCTTCTCCACACTTCTGCCCTTTTTTTTTTTTTTCCTGCTCCCCTGTCTACTCGGATTCTCTCCTTTCCCGCTGCCCCCTCTCTCCCTCGCTCCCTATAGGGCTCTGGCCTGTGCCCAGCGGAGCTGAATACCCGTCCGGCTTCCACGGCTGCCTGCCGGGCGTGAGCCAGCTGCTGAGGCGCGCAGAGGAGAGTGGCGGCGGCTCGCCGTGCACCCTGGCGCCCGAGAGCTCGGGAAGCAGCACCACGGACAGCGCCAGCCCCGGGCCCGGTGCCCTGGCTCCCTGCCACCCCTGCATCCCAGCTGCCTGGGCGCCTGCTCTGGCTTCCGGCCACTCACGCTCCTCGTCACCCGGGCTGCTCCTCCCCGGGGGTCTCCCTGGTTCCACCAGTGTCCCTGCGCCGCAGCCAGCTCCCCGCCGCCGAGCTGAAAGCCCCGGCCCTGGGCTGCGCGTGTGGCGCCCCTGGTAAATTCCAGACGGGGCCTCGCACTCCAGGGGACTCCGGTTTGGCTGCGGACGCAGAGACTACTTTGGACACACCTATGGTGACCGCGGGGTCCGCTGGGTCATCAGTTCTAGGTCTGGGGCGGGAGTCGACTGGTGGGCGCTGCGCACCTGAGAGCGCGGGGAAACGGGCCAGGCCGGGCCCGGCCCCCGCTCCAGCCCAGCTCCGCCCCGCTGCGCTCCTTCCATCCCCCAGTCCCCCGGGCGAGGGTGTCCCGGGCCGCGCCCCTTTCTCAAGGACCCAGGCGCGCAGTCCGCCCCGCCCCGCCCGCCGCAGCCGCGGTGGGAAGGTCGCTGTTGGCCGGGCGCAGCGCAGACCCCTCACAGCGAGGAGAATCGCCGCCCCGCCCCAGCCCATTCAGCCGGCCGCGGGCGCTCGTTCCCACCGGCACAAAGCGCGCCGGACCCCGCCCCACCACCACAGTGCCCTCACCCCCTCCGCACGCGACGCGGTCCTGACTGCTCCCCAAGCAGCTCCTCTCCGCAGTCGGGTTTCCCCCTTGCCAAGGTCACCGCTCTCAGGCCCCGCCCACCAAGATGCCCGCCCGGGCCCCAGGGAAGACCCCGGAGTCTCCGCGGGGAGCACTCCTTCCGCTTGGCCAAGGCACAGACCCGCGTTCTGGGCACGGATCCCAGAGCGCGTGCCCGAGACCTTCGACGGCGCCGGGGCTTATGCATGGAGGACTGCGGCGCTCGGCGCTCGGGACTTCGGGCTGGAGGCGATGGAGTCTGCTTTTCTTCCCCTGGGCTTCTAGCGAGGGCCCCCTACTGGCAGGGTCTGAGATTGCAGTACCTCTTTTCACCAGTTGTAACTCAGAATAAACACGGTGAACGTGAGTTGTGGAGGCCACGGAGGTTCTAATTTCTTCCATGATGCCTACTCAGGTGCGCGATTTTGAACCACAGTTATCAATTTTCTATAGATGGTTCTGCTTTGCTGTGCTGAGAACTTGAACACAAAGCTTTCTCAGTGTTACATCCTAGTTTAAAATAAATTTATTTTCGGGCTGGTGAGATGACTCAGTGGTCTAAAGCACCTACTTAGAACAAACTAAGCTAAGCAAAGCACAGGGACCGCGGTTCAATCCCCAGCACCACATGCCAGCCAGCCCCGCCCCCTGGTGGGCTGAACTGGCCACACACACACAAAATACATAAATAAATAAATAAATTTATGTTCGAGATAGGATCTTGCCAGATTGCCCAGGGTGGGCTCGAATTTGCTTCGATCCTCCTGACTCAGCCTTCCAGACTGGTAGGATTACAGATGTGCTCCACCAGGCCCAGCTCAGGAGCACGTGGTAGGGGTACTGCCCTGTCTCAAAACATGTCCTGGTCCTACTGCGAGGGAAAGGATCTACAGTGCTTCAGCGGCCTGGGCGGGCCCTCTGCAGCAAGGACCAGGGTGTGACCGTCTCAGACTTTGGATGGGAGGCGATCAAGTCAGTTTTCCTTCCCCTGGGCTTCTAGAGAGCAGCTCCCCCTTCCCCACGCGCGCGCGCTCCAGTGTGGGTAGCGGAGAAGCCGGCTTAGCCACCAGGTGGCGGCCTCACACCGCGGACCCAAAGGGGTGGGCCTCTGAATTCCAACCCCGACTGAGACAGAGGAGCCCCGGAATGGCCCCAGCCGCAGCTGCCCTGCTTGGCTGCGGGAGCCAACCGCATAGCGACTGGCCAGAAGCCACACGGTGGCTCTGTGCTGACGTGTGGGCTATGAGGGTCCACCCACTGCTCCGAGTCTGGCTCACTCCCTAGGTAGGGTTGGGTCCCTTGTTTGGTGAAGAGAAGTGAGATCAGGCCTGAGGAAAGGCCCCGCAGCTAAGAAGCTCAGTTCCAGAGGGGGGACACATTTGGGATACCCAGCCAGCTACCCTGTCTCCTTTGGATTCTTTTTTTTTCTTTATGCTATTCTTTTCTTTTTTCTTTTGTTGTTGTTGCTTTGAGACAGGGTGTCACTATGCAGTTTGGGCTGGCTTTGTGCTCACTTTTATAGCACCTAGAACTGGTCTCGAACTCGCAGAGATCCTCTAGGCTCAACCTCCAAGACCGCACAGCCTGTGGGGCCGGGGATCACATTTGGGCCCTTATGCTTGCCAGCTAAGTGCTTATGCCTCTGAGCTATCTCTCCCTCTCCCCTTCGAGTTCTGTAAGGGCATCTCCCCAGAATCAGCCTCAGAATGCCAGGTGCAAATCATAAGGAAGCTTTATCAGGTCCTGTACAGAGAAATGCTAGGTTGTCAAAAAACTACAAACGGATCCCTGACTCTGGGCTGGGCTTGGGGTGTAGACTGAGGTTCCTCCCAGAAAGCCCCTTGCTAATCACTTTACAAACAGGCCTGGAGACAGAGTGTGGGAAAGTCCCCAGTTCTCCCCTAAATGCTGTAAAAATCAGGAGTGATTTGGGGAATGGCTCCCCCTGCAAGTATTGCCTTGGACATGAAATACACAAAGTGAAAACCCATGGTGACCAATGGGCTAACTTGGGAGTGGAGGACAGTGGCCAGCTGGTGGCCTTTACACCAGGTGACAGGTTGGTCATCAAAGGCACAGTGGCCAGAGGCGGCCCCTACCATGCTGGGGCTGGACCAAAGTCCACTGCCTGCTTGCCCATGACCAGTGACCCCTCAGAAGCCAGGGTCGAAGGGTTTCCTTTGGAAGCAGAAGCCTATGTAGAGGGCGAGTAGTAGGGCCTGGCCATGGAGGGCAGAGGAAGCGGGACACAGGGTGCTTCTGTGCTGTTCTTGGAACTTGATCTAGCTCTCTACAAGGGGCCACTGCACAGTGGCTGGGGGCCTTCTCCATCTCCAGATCTCAGTTATTCCTGGGCCTCTCTTGCCTGGGCAGAGATTCATGGCAGAGCCCAGGCCTGCAACAGGTCTGCCCAAAAGGGACAGCAAAGAGCAGTCCTGTAGGGGCCAGGACTGCATGGGTGGGATGGACACTGCGCTGCTGTGAGGAAGCCCACTTCCCCTCTGCCTGATCCTCTGCACTGTGAGCCCACAGCCTTCGTGGTAGGAATCACAGACTTGGCCACCATGTTGGGGACAGACAGGCATCGATGGTGGGCAGTAAACATGGAGTCACTAACAATGGTCAGGGCAGTGCCACTGGTGAGGGTGCAAACGTGCTCTGCTAAGCTGAGGTGGAGTGAGAGTCCCCAAGGAGGCAAGGGACAGAGTGAGGGTCACATGCTAAAGACTGACCTTCGTGAAGGACCCAAAATGGGTCTTAGGATAACTTTCACAGCCCGTCCACTCAGTCCGAGCGGCGGCCAGTGTACATGGACCGGGAGGCTTCGTCTAACAGCCCTGAGATAACATGGTCACCTGCTCATCAGATAGGGAAACTGAGGCAGAACAGGTCACAGCCCTGAAGACCTGCTCAGGGAGCGTGTTTGGGCTCTGAAGACCCCTGTGCTTAAAAGAGACTCTCTGCATCCCCTGCCCCTGGGTGTGGCATTGTAGGGTGCCAAGCTTCAAAAAGTCCAGTGGCTTCTGGCTCCAGGTAGTTTGTTCTGAGGGTGGCCGTCCCAAGTTCGGCTGCACCCGGGCCCAGCTGCAGAGGGCGCAGTACCAAGGCCAGTGCCCAAGTAGTTCTTGCCTAGAGTGGTCCTCCAGGGCCGGAATCAGCCCTCCAGGAAACAGCAGCAGGAAGGAACCAAGTGAGGCGCTGAGCCCCTTGCTTTCTTACGCCCGGGTCAGGAGGTACATTTCTGCACGCAGTGCGCGGGGCAGAGGCGGCAGCTCTGATGCGGTGGGTTACTGCACCCTAGGACGCAGAGCCCAGCGAGTCCGAGTGCAGAGTGACATAGCCCGAGGATTCAGAGGGCGAGCTCAGGAAGCTGCTAGTGCTACCGCCAGTGACCGTCTCGTGCAGGCCTCCGGGATCGCCCCACGACGCGCTCAGGCCGGTCTGCAGCGGGCCGAACTGCGCACGCGCAGATCGGCTTGGGCCTGGGCAGCGCTGTGCGCCGGGGCCGCCAGGGGGTGTGGGGGCGTGACCATGCGGCCCGCGCGTAGGGAAGGAGGGGGCGTGGCCGGGCGGCGCGGCGGGCGGGCGGCGCAGAGCGTGCGGCTCGTGCTCGAAGGCGGTGAGCGCGAAGGCCTCCGGCAGCAGCGAGACCGAGGCAGAGCGTGCTCCGGGTCCTGAGCGGCGGCGCGGGGACCCTGGGGGCGAGGTGCGGGTGTGGCGCGGGGGGCCGTCCGGGGCGGGCAGTGACAGCAGGCTCTCGGCCGAGCGGCGGCGCACACGGAACGGGGGTGCGTCCTCGGCGAAGGCGCGCAGGCTGCTGCGGCGCCCCGGGGGCAGCACGAGCTGAGTCAACGCCGCCAGGTCCTCGCCGGATCCCCAGGGCGGTGGCAGGGCCCACGCATCCGCGTCGTCGTGCGAGGAGCGCCGTGTGGGCGGGACCTGCGAGGACGCGGCGGGCTTTAGCCGGGGCTGCGCTGCGGCGAGGCTGGGGCGGTCTGCGGGTCGGGGGCCAGCGCTGCCTGCTCGGAGCTGTGAGACGTGGGGCAGGTGACAACCGATGTCAGGGTTAACCTTGGTGGGGTCAATGATTGGCTTAAGAAACGGACAGAGGAATCAGTAAAACGCGTGTGCCTGGCGGGCCACTCACCCTGTGACCTGGCACCCTATCTGGGCCCTCGCTCTTCTGGGTCCTGTTGCCCTGCTCTGCTTCCTAGCCACCACAGACAGAATGAGTACCTCTGATCCCCATGAGGCTCCCGCCAGAGAGCCAGCAAACCTCCTTTTCTTCGGTGTGGTGTCAAGGACGGGAATGCTGTCTAATATACAGCATTTCTGAGCCTCCATTATTTAAACTTGAGTGGGTTTTGGGGGGAAAATTCCTTGGGTAGAAATGAAAGGTAGAACCAAACAGCAGGCACCGGGTGGATACCATGCTGCCGGAGCACAGGGAACACGTGCATAGGGGTTTGGTACCCTACCTGGGCCCAGCCCACCTGTGACTTCCACCAACTCAAAGGGTGAGGCCAACTCCTGAAGCTGCCAGGGGCCACCACCCACATGCATGGCTGCACCTGCCCCATCCCTACCTGCAGGTACTGCATCTTGTCCTCCTGCAGGGGCCGCAGCGGGCAGAGATGGGGCAGGCCCCCCTCCAGGGCAGAGAGCTCATATTTGGTCATCCTGTCCAGGGCCACAAAGTCACCTCCACAGCCATAGTCCAGGGAGCGCTCCAGCACCAGATCTGGAGGGATGCCACCCTCCAGGCTGGTCTCTGCAAGGCGGGACAGAGGTGTGGGGCAAGAGGGTATCCCCACAGGTACACATAAGGCAGGGGCCTGGTTAGCTGGGCAGGGGCCTGGTTAGCTGAAAAGGAAGTCCAGGTTGGTCTTGGCTATCGCTGTGTAGTCAGGCTAGCCCCGCACATGCTGTGTAGTCCTTCCTGAGCCTCAAGGTGCTGGGATCACAGGTGCCACCATGCCCACCAAGCCTAGAATGTACTTTCCCCATCTAGGATGTGGGGTAGGACCTAAAGCCACCTTGTGAGCTTCCTGGACTAAATATACAGCCAGGGGCTGGCAGTGCCTGGCACACAGCAAGACTTAGGCTGGAGTTGTAGTGCTGCTACCCGAGCCCACGTGGCACTTCACTGGGGACCTCTAAGGTCAGGGGTCAGGCTGAGCCCAGACCTCTTCTGTCTGGTGCCCAGAGTCACTCTGTCAACAGACACTGGGTCCACAGGAAGTCCCCTGGAGCAACCAGGCAGTATAGGATGATGCCCAGCTTGGGTAAGAGGCAGGAAGTATTTGGCCTTTGAGGACTGGGTCACCTAACTGCCATGGGGGAGGGAATCTCTGCACCTCCCCTGGATGCCACTGTCCCCAAGAGCCACCCTCAGGCCCTCCTCACCATCATCTGAGTCCTCGTCATTGGCCATGAGGGCCATGCACTGCTCCCAGATGGCTTTGAGATCAGCCCGGTAGCGGTCACAGGCCCAGAGGAACACGGGCAGCAGCAGGGCCTGGGTCACAGAGCACCAGAGCACACACAGCACCATCCAGGGAGCTGAGGCGCCAGCCCGCAGGCTGCTGAAGCTCACAACCTGCGGGCACACGGCTTGATTGGCAGGACCCTCCTGCCCACGCCCCTCCCGGCCCAGCTGCCTATCTGCATGGCGTGTCTGCACCCCAGCACAGCAGGTGGCAGCCAAGGAGGGCGCTCCAAGCCCTTGTGTGTGGGAGGGACACCACACCAGACACGCAGGGCCAGGTCCCTCCCTCCCAGGTGCTGTCCAGCTGAGCCCACATGCGTGCAGCCCTGCAATGCCCATCTCCCATGCTACGACCCCCGTGACCCTCCCTGGAGAGAAGCGGGTGAAGGCCAGATATGGAAAACCAGGTCTCAGGGCCATGTTTCCTGCCAATCCAGGGCTCGTCCTAGACCTCAGAGGGTCCAGGGTTCAGACCCCAGAGATTCCCAGGACAGAGGGTCCAGCAGGGTGGTGGGGGGCGGGAAGGGGGTAGTAATGATTCTAGGTACTGTGTATAACAGGCAAGAGGCATGGAGTGGGCTCCACCAGGGCACCCCGTTTCTTGCCTGGGACAGAAGCTGGTGTTGCCCCAGCCCCTGCCCTCTATCAGCACTGGAATGGGAGAGGCTAGACCCTGCTGTACACCAACAACCCTGTAGCCAGGGCTCCAAGGTAGCCCAGCTGGGATGCTGCCACCCCACCAGTCCCCTCCTCAGCCTTCCCTGTTGCCTGGACAAATGTTCTAGAGTTGGGCCCAGCCATTCTGGGGCCAGCACAGTGCTAGCTGCCCAGCGAGAACCCAGCCAGTCCCACAGGACCTTCATGGTTCCCAGCTTCTACAATGTTTCGGACTTTACCTGACCCCGTACAGCACCCTCTTGCCCACCTGCACCTCCTGGGACACAGGCCCCGAGACCCTGTCTCCCACATGTTCTGCATCAGAGGGCCCTGGGGAGGGGAGATGGCAGAAAGAGCACTGGATGTACAGGCATCTCCCACCATGCGCACTGTTCCGGTCTTTAGCCAGAGACCCCCAAGGGTCTCATGCATTCATAGGCAGGGATTTGGAAGGGGACCGGCTTAAGCATTACAGCTAGCATGCTGGTAGGAGGGGCCTGGTAAGAGAAGTCCCTGGGGATGGCCCACGAGGGTTTAGGTCCCTTCTCAGCTGCTTCCTGTCCACCATGTCTGAGCAGCTTTCCTCCCCCACCTCTGCTGTGCTTCTGTGTCTTGGACCCACCAGAGTGCGGCCTGAAACCTCCACAAACTGAGCTAAAACAAATCATGCTGTCCTTAGGTTACAGGTATTGGGCACTGTGTCTCAAGGATGAGGAAAGTGACTGAGGCAGCCGGCTTGACTTTAGGCAGGCTGCAGGCCTCTTTGGCCCTCACCCTGTAGATGTGTGAGATGGGGTGACACTATCTGCACACCTCAAAGAATAGGGTTTGCGTTGATGGCCTAACACCCAGCCCCCAGGCTGTCCCCGAGCCCTCTTCCCAGATCCCCACCTGACCCCGTCACCCACCAGCACAGGGAGGCCCATGAAGCAGTCATAGATGACCACGATGGTGGCCACCAGGCCTGTGATCTGCAGCGAGGTCCTGGCTGACTCCGAGCCGTCGATGGAGGAACGGCGCTTGCCCTGTGCGTCCTCTACCACGATGGTGGGCACAGTGAAGGTGCGCTGGTCCGCCTGGTGCCCCACCTGCACGGCCAGCGTCTGGAAGAGGGTGACGGCTGTGCACACCACGCCCATGGCCATGCTGCCACCCACCAGCAGTAAGAAGCAGACACCGAAGCCCAGGCCAATCTCAGCCACGATGAAGCGGCAGCCGTGGGTGTAGAAGCGCTCACTGGTGTCGTGCCAGCCGACGGCAGGCAGGGCTGACAGGATGAAGGACACCATCCAGATGCCCATGACCGTGTGGACCGCCTGCTTCTTGGCGTTGCTCAGCCTGGCAGGGGGCAGGACAGAGGAACCTGGTGTCACTTAAGCTGTTGGTCCAGGCCTTTCCCGAGCTACAGAGGCTCCATATGCCAGTCCTGGCACAACCAGCGTGGAGGGGGCCTTGTCCTGCAGAGATATCCATACATGGCCTCATGGACCTTTCACCGGGCGCTCTTAGGGGATTGGTGGAGACAGGCTCTCGCTTTGTAGTTCTGACTGGCCTTGACCTGACCCTGTAGTCGGAAGCAGGCTGGCCTCAGACTCACACCAATCCTCCTGCTTCAGCCTCCTGAGTGCTGGGATTACAGGTGAGCCCCACCACGCCTGGCACAGGCACGTCTGCACTGGACACTTGTGTGTGTTCTTGCACAATTCTGTGTGTAGCAGCCCAGTATAGGTGTGGCGAAACCACACGGGACCCTCAGGTGTGCACAGGCAAGACTTCCTGTCACACCCACAGACACCCATCCCCCGACTCACCGGTAGTTGACGGGCCACCGGACCATCCACATGCGATGGTAGGAGAGGGAGGTGACCGAGAAGCAGGTGGCCAGGGTGAGGGTGTAGAAGGTGGACACAAAGACCTTGCAGAGGCCCTCGTTCCACTCGTAGTCAGGACGCTGCCGCCGCAGCTGCACCACAGCGTAGGTGGCGATGGGCACAGCCACGTTGAGCATGTGGGTGGCCGCAAGTGTGCACAGCAGGAACTCCAGAGGCTTCCACTTCTTCTGCTTGGCACCCACGCTGAGGATGCCCCAGGCGTTGGCCAGCAGGGAGAGGCTTCCACATGCCAGCCAGCCCACTGCACTGCCAGGCAGCCGCCGCTCATCACCCATGGTGCAGACGGGAGCGGGCAGGTGGCCGAGGCATCCTCCTGGCGACCACGCCTCGTCACAGAGCAGCAGCCTTTGGTGGTGGTGGTTTGGGGACACCAGGGACCACGGGCAGCTGGAGAGGAGGATGTGAGCACTCAGTAGGTCCCCTCCCAACATGGTACCAGAACTTTGGGCCACTGGAGCGGGGTGGGGGGTGGGGGGTGGAGAGGCCTGGTGCACTACTTCCTGTCTGGTCCAGCTGCCCAGCTACCCATAGGGCCTCCCATCCATGGCCTTAGCACCCAAAGGACTTTGGGTAGGCTTGCTCGCTCCTCCTCCAGGCTTTCTTCCCCCTCACCTGCATCCTCACGCCAGGCAGAGCCAGGCCCAGTTGGATACTGTGGGTTTTTTTTTTTTTTTTAAATGTATTTAGTACAAAGTCTACAGGTCTTACTACACAGATCGGACTTATAGTAATCCTCCTGTTTTCAGCCTCCCAAGCACTGGGATTACTGGTGCCTGCCACCGCCTCCAGTCTCAATCACCTCTCAGCACTCCCCGGCCCCTGCATCTGCCTAATCCGCTGAAATACCTGGCCGGCCCACCAGGTGGATACTGTTGTGGCGTTCCTTTTTCCTGTAGTACTAAGGATCAAACCCAGGCCCCTGTGCATGCGCAGCAAGCACTCAGCTCCTGAGCACCATTCCCAGCAGGCCCCACCCCTCACAGGGTGTCACCAAGGCACCCAGTTTGGGCCTGCACTTGTGAACTTCCTGTCTCAGTCTCCCAAACAGAGGGACTCCAGGTAGGTGGCAGCCCAGTGGACACTTTGGCCTCACATGTGCCCCGGCCCTACTCCACAAAAAAGGCTTTCAAGATGTAGTATTCTAAAATCCTCGCAGAGCTCATACCAGGCCTCCCCAGTGGATGCTGCAGGGCTTTGGGCCTTCCTTTACCCCTCATTTGGCCAGATGAGGCTGGGCTGGGAGGATAAAGTCCCCAAATCTCTCATGCCCCTCCTTGGGAGGGCACAGCCCGCTCTGCCCTGTCAGAGCCCAGCTGGTCTTCCCCAGCCAGGTCCCCACATGGCCCTGGCAAGGCACAGGCTGCAGAAGGCGCCCCACCCTGCTGGTGGCAGGCCCTTCCTCCTCACCCTTCCAGCCTGGCAGCCCTTCGAAGGACACCACTGCAGCGGGTGGCAGGTGCACAAGGTGAAGTGAGGCCCACTGCCCTCTGCCTGCAGATTCTCGGCCCTTCTCTGCTTCATTTCATGGATGCCCCCCTCATGCACCCCACACGCTCAGGTGTCCAGCACTGGGCACGCACTCAGGCTCCCCCAGGGTGCAGCATCTCCAGCTGGAAATAGGGCCAACTTCAGGCTCCTGGGCAGGACAGGAATGATGGCCTCCAGCTCAGAGGCAGCTCCTCTCATCTTGTCTGGTGTTCTTGGTCTGCCCCCTGCCATAGGACACTCAAGGACCCCCATCCAGTGCCCCGACCCAGAGGAGGATTCAGTCTGGATGCAGGAAGCACTCACACTTGTGCCAAGGCCCAAGATCCTAACCTTGGACCTTGGCTGTACACACATTCACCCAGACCTGGACCCAGAGCAGTGTGGCCTCAGAGGGAGAGGTGTTCATGGGGCCACACCAGCCCTTGGTGTGCCTGGCAGTCTTCAGGGCTAAAGAGTTGATGGAGTGTGGGCCGAGGCTACAGACCCCCGGTGACCTTCATGTCATCAAACAGAAAACCAGACCCTGCGTGCACCTGGAGACAGGCATCAGTGCCACCTGCCCTGGCCACTGGTGTGTGTGGGAGGCCTTCCTCAGATGCCCATGTGGGCTCTGCCCACCCAGGACCTTGGCCCCGGTCAGCCACCTGGTTGTGCATTCAGCACTGGTACAGGGTGGTAGGAAGGCACCACGGGCTGCCCCCGGCACACCACTCAGTACCAGCTCTTTCCCTGCTCTGACCTAGTGGCGCTTCGATGCAGGAGGGGGAGAGAGGAACCTCGTTCCTGAGATCAGGCCCACTCCTCATTCGTGTCTCTGACGATGTTGCGATGGACTCTCCGGCCTTGCCTGTTTTATTTTATATTTATTGATGGAGCCAAAGTTCAAAGCTAGCCTCAAACTAGAAGCAATCCCCCTGCCTCAGCCTCCCAAGTCTGGGGATTATACCTGGCCCCCACACCCATTTAAAGGTCATCCAGAGGTAAAACCATTTGTTTGAACCATTATGTGCCTGAGCCAGGACCCAGATTTCTGCTGGTCTAACACCCACCTTTTGGCCTCTCCAACTCTAAAGTGTTTGGGAACAAAGTATTTTTTTTTTTTTTCTCTTCCTAGAAGTAAGAGATCTTTCTGAGCTTCGTCCCCGCAGGGTAGATTCCACTGTCTGGGAACACAGCCACTCCAAGCAGGAAAGAGAGCCAGGTCAGCGCCCAGTTCTCCCGACATCATGCCAGGTCTCTCGGTGCAGAGTCACAGGCACTGGCCGTGGGAACAGCGCGTGCCACGCACCATAATGCACCTCCGAGTTCTGATCCTTTGTCTCTGTCTCTCTCTGTCTCTCTCTTTTTTTGTCTTGCAAACAGGGTCTCTTATGCAGTTGAGGCTGGCCTTGAGCTCACTTTGTAGCCCAGGTTGGTCTAGAACTCAAACGATCCTCCTGCCTCAGCCTCCCAAATTCTGGGATCACAGTCAAGTGCCACCATACCAGGCTCTGGTTCTGATTCTTGGGGACCAGCAGTCAGTTGGAACCGAGTCCTTCAGCCCCCCCCCTCCGCCCCCCCGTCGCGCTCCCAACATCCAGGAAGCATTTCTAGGACGAGGCCCCACCTCCCAGCCAGGAAGGCACAGCAGGTCTATCCCACCGCGAGGTCCACAGCAGGTGGGGCCATCCCAGGTACCCTCAAAAGGGCCGCCGGCCAGCCAGACCGTGACGTCATGGCCTCAAGCCAATGAGGCCACGCTCCCCGGGGGCTCCACTGCACAACAAAAGGGACCTAGAACTTGAAAGGATTCCCCCGGCTTGGGTGCGCCCCAGCTAGCGCCCCCACGCTGCTCCCGCCCGCGCTGCGCTGCGCCACAGTCCTCCGGCCCGAGTTCTGCCGCGCTCCCCATCCACTTCGCTGCCCTGGCATCCCCAACCTAAGAGGCGCGCCCCGCCTGCCCGTTCTCCGCGGGCCTCCGCGTTTCGCCCAACCCGAGGGCGCGCCCAGGCGGACGCATCCTGGTGGGGTTGCGGCCGGGTACCCGCAAGATTGCGCTGGACAGGCGCACGCTCAGGACCCCGAGACTGTCGTCCTCTCCTACCCCTGCGAAGCCCCGGGACGGCACCGCCAGCCGGGGTCAGAGGTCTGAGGGGGGTACTGGCTCCAGGAAGTTGTCCCGAAGGTCCCCAAGTTGGGCGCGCGGGGGGGGGGGATGTCCAGCCCTCAGCGGCCCAGTAGCCCCGATCGAACTGCTTGTCTACGCAATGCCCGCGCCCCCGGATACCCCAGGGGCCCCGGCTCCCGCCCACCGCCCTGACCAGGCCGGCCGCACTCACCCTGCATTCGGACGCCCGGGGCTCCCGCTCTCTGCTCTCGCCTCCGGATGCAGCTCCCGCGGCCCTGAGCCGAGCACCGGGCGCCAAGGGCCGTGGGCGTGGCTGGCGGGCGGGCTGGCGCGGAGGCGGCTGGGGCATCCCGGCAGAGGGCCGGAGGGCGGGGGCCCCTCTCGGCTCGCCCGCGCCCCTCCCTCCTTCC